TGTTCTGCAGGAGATATTTTTAATTATAAATCTACTTTTGTGTAGTAGTGTTAACATTTAACGCAACGAATTATCTCTGACAAATGCATTATTAAGATACCAAACGATTGAAAACGATCACTACCAAACAATTGAAAATACTGAATGCATGAGTTAAAAATTATAACCGTAACTTCTGAAAATACAGAAAAGAATTCAAAGAATGTTTTGATTATTGTTGAGTGTGTCAAAATCGGTGCTTGCTGCAGAATGGATGAGTATCTAAATCTGGATTTTTTTAATCAGTTGGAGCGAAGAGGCAAAAAGAGCGTTATTGAGTGGTGTATGTATGGAGAAAAGTTTGATTGCAATATCGTATAAGTGCCCAATTTGTGGAACAAATATGAAACTAGTAGAGAGACGGTTTTGAGACGTATAGACGATTTTGAGTGGTGCGCAATGCCGAGTTTGTGCAACTCTGAGATGTTTTTTAAGTGAAAATTGATCGATGTGCACATGGGCAAAGCCAATGCTGTGCGCGATGCCGAGTTTGTGCAATTCTGGGATTTTTTTTAAAGTGAAAATAGATCTATGTGCACATGGGCAAAGCCAGTGTGGTGCGCAATGCCGAGTTTGTGCAATTCTGGGATTTTTTTAAGTGAAAATAGATCGATTTGCACATGGGCAAAGCCAATGTTGTGCGCAATGCCGAGGTTGTGCGCGATGCCGAGTTTGTGCAATTCTGGGATGTTTTTTGAAGTGAAAATTGATCGATGTGCACATGGGCAAAGGCAATGCTGTGCGCGATGCCGAGTTTGTGCAATTCTGGGATTTTTGTTAAGTGAAAATAGATCGATGTGCACATGGGTAAAGCCAGTGTGGTGCGCAATGCCGAGTTTGTGCAATTCTGGCATTTTTTTGAAGTGAAAATAGATTGATGTGCACATGGGCAAGCCAATGTGGTGCGCAATGCCGAGGTTGTGCAATTCTGGGATGTTTTTTTAAGTGGAAATAGATCGATGTGCACATGGTCAAAGTCAAGGTGGTGCGCAATGCCGAGTTTGAGCAATTCTCTGATTTTTCTTTAAGTGAAAATAGATGGATGAGCACATGGACACCGAGTTTGTGGAATTCTTTGATGTTTTTCGAGCGAATACTGATCGTTGTGTAGAAGAGAAAACGAGGTTGTGTGTGATGCCGAGCAGTAATGCAACTTTATTTATGTGCAATGTTTAACATATCGTTAGTGTATTTTAAATTTGTATTGTTGTTTTAATTGTGAATTATATTTAAGACGTCATTTTTCATTTAAATTGTATTTTTAATTTTTTGGCTTTGATATGTTTATAACGCTTTCCGACTTACGACATATATCGATAGCCCGACGATCTACTCAACAGTAGCAAAATTGTTAACTTTAACTCTTGAAGTAACGTTTACCTCATATTTTAATACGTAGTGTTTGGTATCGTAATTGCACTTGATAATATGAGTTTATTGATAATATGTGTGTGTTTGCGTATGTGAAGCATTGCTTAGTGTTCCAGGTTTGTAGTATTTATTTTATTATATTATTTTCTTTCATTCTGAGAAATTAGATTTTTTTATTTATTAATGCGTAGAATTCTAGCATGCCTACACAGAATATGACGTGATTTAGGAATTTTAGAAACTGATATGAAAGCTGTGTAATGATGTTCATATGCAATAAAAATATTCTTCTTTTTTTATTAATGTAAAGTTTAAAATTTTTAGAAATAATGAAAATTGTCTAATTATTGGTATGTAAGGAATTATGTCGTTACGTAGCAAGTAGGTAATTTGTAAAAATGATAAAATTGAAATGTTCCACAATATGAATTTAAATTTAAAAAAATTATTTTATTTGTATAAATAAAAAAATTACTACTACTAATAATAATAGTTTAATAAAAATCTTTGAAAATATTGAAACTCTACAAGTATTAGAGACTGCGACGTTGTTTATCGTTTAAATAATTGGTAGAATTCGCTCATTGTATCATGGTAATTTTAAATATAAACAATTTATTATACTTATTATCAGTAACGCCTAAGCTTAAATGTTATAAATGTAAATTAAAAGTAAAGAACTTGATATTAATTTAGAATAACAAACAATTTATTATTGTTATTTTTAAGAGAAAATAGAAAGTACACGTAGTGTAAATGCGAGACTACATTGTGACGTCATAAGCTTAGTCCCACCCATTTATGGACGTCACACAGCTCCTCCTACTGAACTTTGTTGATGCAGCCTATTCTGCGCTTGGCGTCCTTTGACAGGACGGAATCAGGACTTAGAAGAGAAGGGCTAGCTCATAGAGCTTTTTCCCCTGAAGCAGAAAGTGAGAAGTGATGACGTAGCCATGATGACACTGAGCGCGCCAATATAATTCACAGCTTGGAAATTAACGTTTTCGAACCAGCGTATAAAATGAGCTGTGTGTGAAAGATAGCTATAATTTGGAATAGGCAATGCTACTGCTTTATGCATTTTAGACTGAACCATTAAAAAACTTAATAATGCTTACTCAATTTTAAAAATAATAGATAAAATGTGCTACTCTTTTAACATAAAGTTCCGTGTTTTTTTTTTTTTTTTTTTTTTTTTTTTTTTTTTATTATTGCAGGTTTTTTTTTTATTTAATGCACGTTTATTTCTAATTATTTCTTTATTTGCATGCTTAACTGAGAGAATTTTTATACTGCTTCTAAGATAACTATAATAGCAGCTATTTAAATTTACTCAAAAAATAACTTTACATCGACATAGGTTTAAACATATATGACATATATGGCAACATTTCTGCTAACCTACGTTTGATTTTTTGCCTAATTGTAAATTTTACATTGTTATAATTCTCTTCCGATTCAATATAATAGATATTTTTTAAATAATTTTGTAATTTATACTTATATCTATATTACAATTAAATAAATGTATATAAATTGTTACCTTAATTTTGACAAAATAGCTTTATTCAGAGTACCTAAAACAGTTATTTAATTTTTCAAAAGTGTGAGTAAAGGAAGCAGGTCTTTTTATGCCAATTACTTTGATGTTTTATACTATTAATTTTATCTAGAATGCTAATCTAGTACAAAATCTAATCAATGATTAGTTACAAAGGATACAATAAGAATAACTTTAACAAGTACTTAACAAAATTAGTTTGTTAAATACTTGTATTCTTGTTGGTACTATTTTGGTACTATTCATAATACCGAAGATATTATCGATTAACTCATAGAAGTCAGATGCTTTCTGATTTCCTGTGTGGGGTTAGAGTATACCTTTTGCGGTACTTTTTGAAAATAATGTTTTCTCTGGGGACTTTTTGTCTCTCATTTCCCTTGACCATTAAATAATTTGGTTTTAGTTTGTGACACAATTTGATTTCTTCTCAATCTCTATTTAAAACCTCTTTAATAATATCAAAATTTAAAACAGTTACATTTTCTAAAACAAATCCTCTATCTAAAACGCGGTTTCTCATTAATTTGAGGCAGAGCGCGAAATGAGACCTCTGATTAAAACAAACTGCACATTTTGAAAAGAACCAACTTAGTCCAGTTTAGAGTCATAGCAGAGTTTTCAATCTATTTGCATTTCGTCGAAACTGAGAACGCATATTTTTTCTACAGAATACAAATATTCGCCTTTTTCCTTCTTTAGAGTAAGAACATTACTTTGAATTCTTGGACTACACTAAAATTTAGAAAACACTAAAAAATAAAATAAACACCATTTCTTTAATTTGATTATACTAGGTAAAGATATTCCAATTTTTTTCTTACCGAAAATCATAGCTTTAAGATGACAGAGCTCTTATGACAATGCAACGTGAAATATTTTCACTAGCCCACCTGATTTTTTTCTTCTTTTTCAGTAATGCATTAATCTGCGTCTTTATAAAAATAGGCTTTAGACACTTTTCCAAATTCTTCGATTTGTGCTCCCCCCCCCCCAAATTTCGCTATTTGAGATTATAATTTCTGATACCAATTTCTGTCTAGATGTCGTCCACCTTCTTTGTCGCTGAACAAACATTCTAAAATCTTTCTTTTCTCTATTTTTCAATACTTTAATACAATTTTCTAAGGATATTATTTTGTTCTTCAAATTATCAATGCATTCTTGTTTATCCTTAAACATTCAAGATGATCTACATTTTCATTTGTGAGTTTTATTTCAAAATCATTAAAATTTGATTTATTATTGTCATCATCAATTCGATTTATTATTGTCATCATAATTTACTTTCGGCACAGCATTCCATTTCAACAGTTCTTTTTGTGGCTATCCAAAAAAAAGCGATTTTTCATATCATTTCATAAACACTGCATAGAAAATGTTTGCTGCAGATTTTTTCCGCTCTTCCATTAATAGAATCTTCTCTTTGACATTTGTGTATCCATTCTTTCGTCAAAAGCAAACTCTCATTTGGATCTTTTGCTCCCATGAAATAAAATATCTCATCCTTTCATACTTCTGTAAGTGCTTACGGCGGCGTTACTGTACTGCAGCGCAAAAAGCCATATTACGTAAACGATACTTTACAATATAGAATTTAAAATAAAAACTGACTAAAATTACATACATATAAATTATTTTAAATATATACATTATTAGAAAACAGATATATATATTATTAAAAATTATTTGGGATATGTAACTCTAGAAAATCGTCTCGCAGCTCAAAAAACTGTTTTAAACGCGGGAAATCAGGACAGGTGGCATCACAGTGACGTCAGATTATTGCCTGTTACGTCCCCATTAGGCTCGCGTCGGCGAGGATCGACAAGAAATGAGCTAGCCTTCTATTTATCCCTGGGACGGAATGGCTATTTAAAGAAAACGAAAGAACGGTTAAAAACGAAACATCGATTTCGTATTGGAATTTATCAAGTGAGTTTATGATTTATTTGATTATATATCCTTTATTATTTGAATATATTGGACATATTGAATTTAAAATCATGGAAATTTTATTAAAAAGCGTAAGCCACTAAGGCAATCGTTTACGATTACTGCCAATGCTTTAGATGCTGAAATTCTAAAGCCTGACGTGGAAGTTAATCAACTCCAAGTATTGAGCTTACAGTTGGAAGGAAAATTCAACAGATTAGATGAAGTTCAGTCACAAATTTCCGAACTTTTATTGGAAGGTCAAAACGAAAGTGAATATTTAGCTGATTTTGACACGAATGAAACATATCGTGATAAATATATCAGTTTAAAAACAAAAGTAGAAAACAAAATGGTGAATTCCACTCCTGTAATTACACCTGGAATTTTAGAAAATTCCACGAAAAGGAACTTTAAATTACCAAAGTTGGAGCTTCAAAAATTCAATGGGGAGACCCGAAATTGGTTAGGATTTTGGGGACAGTTTAAGAAGATCGACGAAGATGTAAATATAGATGACGATGACAAATTTCAATACCTATTGCAGGCAACGGTCGTTGGATCTCCAGCGAGAGAGCTCATAGATAGTTATCCTCCCTCTGGCGCGAATTATAAAGAAGCTATCAAGCAGCTAAAATCTCGATTTGCACGAGACGAATTACTGGTAGAAATCTATGTTCGCGAATTATTAAAGTTGGTTTTGGCTCAAGCTAGCAAAAAAGGAAATATGACTCTATCCAACTTATATGATAAGTTAGAGACGCAACTCAGAGCTTTGGAGACGTTGGGGGTAAAAAGTGAGATTTATGCAGCTATGCTGTATCCCCTTGTAGAGTCTTCACTACCTGAAGAAATTCTGAGGGCATGGGAGCGATCTCGCCAGCGTAGGGAAAGTGTGGCACACACTGAAAATTTGGAAAATTTATTGCATTTTCTCCGAATTGAAGTTGAAAGTGAAGAGCGTCTTCAGTTGGCCCGTACAAGTTTTTCTGCTCCAGACAAATTGGACTCGGTTCCAGCCACAGCAGCTTGTATTTATGCAGGAGATTCAAAGAAGAAACAGCTTAATTTTTGTGTTTGGTGTGACAAGGAAACACATAATTCTTATGAGTGCTTTAAGCTGCACAGCCTTTCATTGGAAGATAAGAAAAATTTACTAAGAAAGAAAAAAGCTTGTTTTAACTGCCTAAAAATTGGGCATGCTGCCGAAAAGTGTAAAAGTTCTGTGAAATGCCTAGTTTGCAACAAACGTCATGTAACGGTGATGTGCAGAGAACTAAAAGGTTCTAGAAGTTCAAAAAAGGAAGCACCTAAAGCAGCTAACGAAACAAGTGAGACTTTATTGTCTAACCAAAAACTGCAAACAACTCTTCTCCAAACTATTATGGTGAAGATTGTCCATAATGGAAAAAAGGAGCTTGTGAGAACTCTTTTTGACAGTGGGTCACAAAGATCTTACTTACGGAAAGACATAATAAAGAGACTAGATTTAGTCCCATTAGATCAAGAGACTTTGAGCCACAATTTGTTTGGTGGAGTTGAAACTGAATCTCAGGTCCATGGTATTTTTGATATCGAAATACAAGGAACGGAAAATAAATTCAAATACGAATTATCGGTTTTAGATAAAGACAAAATTTGTGGATACATTCCTAGAGTGAAACTCAAACATTCCTCACTTCGAGAACATAAAATCAAAATCAGTGATTCTGGAAGAGATATACCAGATATCGGATTGTTAATAGGAGCCGACTATTCCGGACAGTTGATGACGAATAATATCATTCCAATTGACAAAAACCTTATTGCCATTGAAACAAAATTGGGTTGGACCCTACAAGGCCCAGTGCAAAGTCATAATACCTTGCTTGGTACCGTCGGACTTTGTTATTTGGATCTCACAGAACTATGGAATTTAGAGACAATTGGCATAAAAGATCCGGCGGAAGTGAAGACTAAGGAGAATTTAGACAATGAAACGATCAAATTTTTCCTAGAGAACATTAAAGTAATCGAGGGCAATAGGTATGAAGTCTGTTTGCCTTGGAAGGATAGTCATCGGATTCTTGAAGATAATAAAGATAAAGCGGAAAAAAGACTTTTCGCCAATACACGAAGACTGCAGAAGATGGGATTTTTCGAAGAATATGATGGTATTATTAAAGGCTGGCACGAGGAAGGTATAATTGAAATAGCTCCGAATAATAGTGATACTGGTCACTATTTATCTCATCAAGCAGTAATCAAGGATTCCAGTCTGACTACGAAAGTGCGACCTGTATTCGATGCATCATTGAAGGATGAAAATGGGAATTCCTTGAATGCTTGCCTCGAAAAGGGGCCGAATTTAATAGAAATGCTTCCAAAACTTTTGATACAATTCCGGCAACATGCAATTGGTGTTACTGCCGATATAAGGAAAGCTTTCTTACAAAGTTTCTTCTTTCAAATCAGTTTGTGTGTCAGAGACAGAGACTTTTTGAAATTCCTGTGGTGGAAAGATTCAAACAAAACCGAGATTATTACCTACAGACACTGTCGTGTCGTGTTCGGCATTTCTTCGAGTCCATTCCTGTTGGGAGCAACGATTTCTTACCATTTGGATAATGCTCCACAAGATTTAAGAGGAACGGCACTTAGATTGAAGAAATCCTTTTATGTCGACAATTGTATAGCTAGTTTCGAAACCGAAAAAGAAGTAGTCAAGTTCAAAGAAGAGTCCCAAACTCTAATGTCTTCAGGAGGTTTTGACCTTAGAGGGTGGACTGCTGCACCATTCAAAGATAGAAGCATGACTTCCTATCAGAAGGTCATTCCAATTCTGGGACTCTCATGGGACACCGAGAATGATGAAATCTATTGCAATTTAACCCTTTGACATTTTCGGAGAGTGCCCACACGAAACGATCTCTTTTGTCAGTCTCACAGAGGATATTCGATCCCATCGGATTTACAAGTCCAACCACGTTAATTCCAAAACTCATTCTGCAAAAAACATGGAAGATGAAACTTACCTGGGATGAAAATCTTCCACAAGGTATAGAAAGAGAATTTCAGGACTTGGCTCAAAAGACTACACTTCTTGAATTATTGTAAAATTTCAAGAAGACTTGTGATTGGACCCTTCGATGACTGCTCTATCTCTCTACATTGTTTTAGTGATGCTAGTAAGGTATCTTATGCAGCATGCATTTTCTTACGTGCATATTTTGAGGGCAAAACTTCAGTACAATTGGTATTATGTAAATCAAGAGTAGCACCTGCCAAAGAAGTAACTATTCCCAGATTAGAGTTGCTTGGAGCACTTATAGCTTCTCGGCTGTACCGTCAAGTCATTGACGCTCTTAAATTGACAAAGTGCCAAGTGTACTTTTGGAGCGACTCGTCTGTAGTTCTGACATGGATAAAAAAAGACTCCCACTGGAGTGTTTTTGTGGCCAATCGTGTAGCTGAAATAAGGAGATGCACAAATCCGGACGACTGGCATTATGTACCAAGCTTAAGCAATCCAGCTGATCTTCCCTCTAGAGGGTGCGATGCCAAAATGTTGCTACAGAGCAGATGGTGGGAGGGGCCGGATTGGCTTAAACAGGAGCCGGATAAATGGCCTCTCTCTGAAGAGTCAGAACTAGAAACTGATGAAAGTACAGTTAATTCAGAAAAAAGGGAAAATGTGGTTTCTAGCGTTTCCTGTAGAACCCCAAACTTCACAGAAACATTCACTCGATTTTCTGGATATTATAAAAATGTGAGAGTATTAGCTTGGATCTTTAGATTTCTTAACAACAGTCGTCATAGAAAAAACGAAAAATTTAATAAGGAATTAACCTCAGAAGAAGTGAGTTTTGCAGAGAAAAGGTTGTTATATTTAATCCAAGCCGAAAACTTTCGGAATACTGATGGAAAAAATTTGAAAGGGATGATTACATTTAAGGATGACTTTGGACTTCTTCGAGTAAGAACCAAACTAATTTTAAGTGACGAAGACGAAAACTTTAAGTGTCCTATTCTATTGCCAGGGAACCATGCACTAGTTCATCGCCTAATAGAACAGAAACATCGGCGACTGCAGCATGCAGGTACAGGGACCTTGATCTGCAACTTGCGAGAAGATTATTGGATTGTCGGTGTGAGACGTCTTGTGAAGAGAATTTGTTCAAAGTGTGTTATTTGTAAAAGATTCAAAGGCAAATCTGTTCAACCACCAGTTGCACCCTTACCAAAGGACCGCATTAAATATGCTGGAGCTTTTGAGGTCACTGGCATCGATTTGGCTGGCCCATTGTATGTATTGTCTGGCGAAAAAGCATGGATTGTGATTTTTACTTGTGCGATCTATCGTGCTGTGCACTTTGAATTGACGAAATCTTTATCAGCAGATTCATTTATAATGGCACTCCGAAGATTCATTGCAAGAAGGGGTAGAATAAGCATCTTATATACTGACAATGGTACCAACTTTGTAGGAACGAATAATGCACTAAACGAACTTGATTGGGAAAAAATAATGGAGTTCTCAACAATTGAGAAGATTACCCCCCCCAGCGTTACGGCTTTTTCAGGAAACGGAAAAATAATCGTGTGTACTCATCTGGTCTGTCGCAAAAACGTCAAATATTTTGACTCAAACTACTTCAAAAGCCGGCCCCCCCTTACCATGTGGATATAATTAAGCTAATTCTCTCCTCCGCTGAATTTAGCGAGTGAAATTAGTTTTTCTCCCTATCGTATCTCCGTCACAGGATTGGTTGCTAAAATGTTATTTTATCTCCTAATTTGGCTATGTTATAGTTTGCATACTAACACATATGCTGTATATTGCTCGTACCTTAATCAAGATATGTGCCGAATAAGAAAGTTAGTAAAAATGCATCAGTAATAGAAACTACGTAAAATGCTTTAAATTTCCAGTTTCTGTAAGGAATTGCTTCGATGATAGTAAAAATCCTTTCCTTATTTCAATATGATGGATATTGAACCTTGTAGGAAGAACAAAGCTAAATTTTCAGAATGACCAAAATACTTTATTTGAATTTTAAAACAGAACCAAAAAAATAAATGCTGCAGATCTTAACTATCAAAATTCTCAACAATTGAGATCTCAACTCTTATCTACTATAGTTAAAACTCTTACAACTCTTAAAATACTAAAATCTTAAACTCTCCAAACAAAACCTATCAAAAAAAATCTTCCGGATCCCTTCTTGTTGCCACACCGTAAAATGCAAGTCCTTATCCTATTATTTATATTTCACGTTCTCTTTACAGGTCAGTCTTTACAAGTTACGATCTTTACAAGTCACATGATCTTTACAAATCACGATCTTTAAGTCATGATCTTTACAAGTCACGATCTTTACAAGTCACGATCTTTACAAGACATGAACTTTATAAGTCACGATCTTTCCAAGTCCCCGTAGAGACAATGCTGCTCAGAGTTCATTGAGAGAGAAAGAGTTAACTGCTAACCTTGACAAAGCATCAGCATTCCCATGTGAACTTCCTTTGCGGTATGTCACAGTCATGTTATACCGTTGTAACGCTAAGGCCCAACGAGACAGTTTAGCACCATGAGGGGCGCTTTGGGTCAAGTAGGTGAGGGGATTGTGATCAGACACAATCTGCACTTTGGCACCGAAAATCCATGTGTCAAATTTTTTCAAGGCTTCGATGACACAAAATGCTTCTCGTTCGATGGTTGACCATCGTTGTTGACAGGGCGTTAATTTCTTGCTGAAAAATGCTATGGGCATTTCTTTGCCATGTTCGTCGTCGTTTTGAGCTAAACACGCTCCAATTGCGAAAGCAGATGCATCCGTATAGAGTTGAAAGGGCTTGCTGATGTCCGGAGTATGCAGAGATGGCATTTTAATCAACTCTTCTTTAAGTTTGTTGAAAGCTGCTTCTTTTTCAGAGTCCCATGGAATATTATTTGGAACACTCTTCTTTGTAAGGTTTGTTAGAGGTAAAACAATCTCAGAAAAATTTTGGGATATAATCCCTATAGTAGCTTGCTAGCCCTAAAAGACTTCTGACTTCTTTTTTAGTGGTAGGCTTAGACAGATTTCTGATGACTTCTACCTTCTCAGGATCTGGAGAGTGAGTGCCAGAACCTATTACATGTCCTAGAAACTTCACGTGACTCTTTCCGAAATCACACTTTTCTAGATTTGCGGTTAGACCTGCGTTTCTCAGTGTCTGAAACACTTGGTCGATGTGATAGAGGTGGCCATCCCAAGTTTCAGAAAATATTGCCACATCATCAATATATGAACGGCAGTAGTTCTTATGGTTTGCAAGCACCTTATCCATCGATTTTTGGAAGGTACTTCCCAGCATTTTTCAAACCGAAAGGGAGAACTTTCCATTGGTAATGGCCGGAATGAGTGATAAATGCTGTGTAGGGTTTAGCTTCTTCTTTCATAGGAATTTGCCAATATCCCTTGGTTAAATCGAGAACTGTTATGAATTTGGCTTTCCCTATTTCGAATAGTAAATCTTTAGCAATCTTCATCGGATAGGCGTCCGGAATTGTGAAGCTATTTAAAAGCCTGAAGTCTATGCACAGTCTAACGCCGCCATTCTTTTTTGCAACACATACTATAGGATGTGCCCAGTCACTGTCACTGGGTTCTATAAGATCCCATTCTAACAGTTCTACTTAGACTTCCTCAGTTCTTTACGAACTTACTAACTTGACGATCGACTTCCTCTTGAAGTGAAACAGGAACACGGTAGGGCCTCAATCTTTTTGGATTACATTCTTCTGTAACCTTGATGTCATGACCATCAACATTGGCTTGACCAGGTTTGCTACTGAAAACATCTACATAAGATTTTAGTACTTTAAATAGTCCTTCCCGTTGGTAATATTTTAAGTCGCCTTTCAAATTTTGTAAATGGGTCCAGATATCATCAGCAGATTTATTCATAAGATCTGCTGGTGCATAGTGGATATCTCCAAACTCTTCATCTTGGTCAAAAATGATACCAACGTGATCTACACGAGCAATATAAGGCCTTAACTTATTTATATGGAGTTCTCTAATACTTCCGTTTTCCATTTCGATTTTGGCAGAGTGTGGCCTGGTAAGTTTGATCACGGTAGCTGGTCCTTGCCACGTGTTGAGCAATTTATGTGATGATGATGGCATTAACACGAGGACTTTTGTCCCCAACATTGAAAGTCTTTTCTTGAGAACGTAAATTGTATCTTGAAGTGTACTCTTCTTGAGATATTTTGGAATTTGCTGATGCAATGTCATGAGCTTTTCTTAATTTTTCTAAAAGGTCTTGTAGATAATTTTCAATTGAACGGGAAGCTGTAACTGGAATGCTACGTTCACCTGTCCATATCTCTTTCAGCAAAGATAATGGTCCTGGTGGTATTCTTCCATATACCATCTGGAAGGGAGACAAACCAGTGGTGCTATGTGGCACTTCTCTGTAGGCAAACAGGAGATAGGGAAGATTCAAATCCCAGTTTCTGCCATGTTCTTGGATATTTTTGTTCATCATCTCTTTTAAGGTTCTATTCCAACGCTCGACAGCACCCATACTCTCGGGGTGTCCTGGAGTGGAGAATCGTGGAGACACACCAAGTAAGTTCTCAAAGGCTCGGGTGAGTTTGGCTGTGAAATTAGTTCCCTGGTCGGAACAAATCACTTTTGGAAATCCAGTTTGAGTAAAAAGCCTCATCAAAACGTTGCATGTTGTTTTCGCACTTATGTCTTTGACGGGGGTGGCTTCTGCCCATCTGGTGCATAGGTCAACTGCACATATCACAAACCGATGACCTCTCCTGGATGGAGGTTCTAATGGCCCGATACAATCCACGCTCCATACTTCAAAGGGTGTTTCCGGTCTAACAATAGGTTGAATTGGGATTCGATCTTTGTACGTAACTGTTCTCCTCAATTGGCATTCTTTACAACTTTCACAGAATTTTTTAACATCTTGCTTAATAGTAGGCCAAAAGAATGAGTACTTGATTCGTTGAATTGTCTTTTTCTCACCGAGGTGGCCGGCAAGAGGGATTTCATGTGCCATTCTTAGGACTTCCCTTCTTTTTTCTAAAGGTAACACAACTTGCTTAATGTTTTCACCACAGATATATTCGGAATGAAGTAATATGCCATCATCGAAAGTATATGAATTTTGATTTTTATTTGCCCATTCAAAGCATTTTTTCAGAGTTTCGTCTTGTTCTTGATGTGTCTTGAATTCTAGTCTTACTCTGTTCGTTGTTTTCAGAGACTCTATGTTTTCTTGGGAAATCTGATTAACAACAGCCAAATTTGTAGTATTGTCTTCAACTGGTGAGGGTTTATCATCTGTCTCTTTGTACTCTAAGGGGGATGCATCCCAATGACGATCACAGTTCCACAGTTCGATATTTCCACAGAGTGTTTCATAAGCTGAAGAACTCAATAGCAAGTCGGTAACTAGCTTTTTTGAAACAGCACACGTAATGGACACTCTACCGTGAAAATCATCGTCAATTTTCATCTGGAAAATCTTTAGTGGAGTAATTTCGTTTTCACCAAAAGCAGAAGATATCTCTATTTTACTTTCTCCTTCGCAAGGTATGTTGTCAACCAATTTCTCACGGACTACTGAAATTTGTGCTCCCGTGTCTACGATTCCATTTAGAATAATATCTCCACATTTAACTTTGACAAGTTTTAATTCATCTATGTTTCTAGACACGTCCACTGATTTTGAGACAGGAATAGAGATCTTGGCAGTTAGCACTTCTGGTTTTTCTTTTTCTGCAAGGGGTGCTTGTGTTTGTATTAAGTTGTTTTTGTGCTGTTGCAGAAGCACTTCTTGGTATCCGATTTTTGGTACATAACTTAGATGTATGACCTTCTTTTCCACAATTATAGCAAGTTAGTTTGAAACTAGGCTTTTGTGGTTCGTCACTCTTACGGGATGGGTACACTCTTGGCGTGTTTTCAGCGGACAGCGATTTATTTCTGAAAGCTCTTTCTGGAAGTGGAGAACGAGGTTGCCATTTTTTATTAGTTCTGTCTGCTGATGGATTACCACCAGTCCGTTTTGAGATATTACGAACACTGTCATATTCGTCAAGTTTATCAGCTAATTTGGTTGGAGAAACGAACTTCGCCCAGTCGTCAAGAAGATGGTCTCTTACTTCATAGGGTACTCTTTTCTTAATTTGGTCAGTAATAATCAAGTCTTTTAACGCGGCAAAATTTGTGATTTCAAGACCATTGATCCATTCTTCAAAATAACTTGTAATTTCGTAGCAAAAATCTCTCCATGATTTTTCAGCGCTCTTTTGGTGCATCACAAATTTTTTTTCTAAAGCTTTCAGGATTTAATTTAAATCTCTTCAATAAAATGGCCTTAATGTACTCATAATCTTCAAAATTTTCTTCAGATTCCCTACCAATTAATTGAATGATTTCAGATGGCATTAAAGTCAATAAACATGAAACCCAATCTTTAGGATCAATCTTTGTCCTTTTAGCTTGTCTTTCAAATAAGGATAAATAAATCACAATATCATCGTGTCTTAAATTGAATTTGGGAATAAGCTTAATTAAATCAAAATTATGATGTCCATTTTCATTTGTTGGTGGAGTTTGTGTTAGTCGAACACGAGATTCAATTTCGAGTTTCCTCAATTCAAACTCCATTTGCTCTCTTTTCTGCTGTGCTTCTAATTCTTCTTTCCTTCGTTGTTCCTCAATCTCTTCTTTCCTTCGCTGTTCCTCAATCTCTTCTTTCTCCTTTCTTCGCTGTTCCTCTTCTTTTCTTTTCCTCTCTTCAATAATCGTTAAAAACACTTCTTTAGCAAATGCTTCATCATATGTATCACTTTGAATTATTTCATTTTTTATCGCCACGATTTTCATACTTGGATCTACTTGAATTTCTAATTCAGCAGCTAAAACCAGCAAATCCTCTTTTTTCCCACGTCCCATAAAAGCCATGTCTCGATTTTAAATAAACCTTATTCTTTGCAAATTTAATAAAAAAAACTAATTTCTTGTTAATGCGTCCTTCAATTTATCCTTAACATTAGTTAAAGTATGAACTCCCTGATTGCGGTTTTCTCTTTCGTTGGGAAACAAAAAAAAAAAAAAATCGTTTCTATGTGTAACACTGTAGCAGCTGGCTGACGCCAAGTACTGATTTCTGATTTTATTCAGTCAATAGACTCTTAGTTTTATAAAAAGCAATTTTTTTTTTTTTTCTATTTAAATATAATTCACAATGAATTTAATTTTATTCGGCACGAAAATCAATCAGTGGAATCAATACTTAATGTGTTGTTC